CGACTTTGCTCTCCCAGTCGGCACCCAATATTCCACTAACACTTGATTATAATTTTGCGAATTACAATCAACAACCACCCGAGAAAGAGCTTTGCCCACCCAGATTGGCACACCGTTGGACAGATCATCATCGAAGGGGCGAAGGATAAGAAAAGTGCCCACGTCGACATGCACGAGGGGGTCGAAACTAGTCTTCGGGCGATTTTTTCTTCGTCCAACAAACAGCGGTTCCTTGTCATCGTCGATGTTGACACTGTGAGGAGAAGGTTGTTGATCGATTTCGAGCAGCCGTGGTCGTGGCCAAAAACTTCCCTGGGGTTGTGAGGACAACCCGTTGGCGATGATCTCATCGCCATGTTTGATAACCTCCTCCCAATAACACAAAGCTGTTTCTCTCCTACTCACCTCATGGTCATTGTAAGTGCACAACGTCGACCACCTACTCTCCAGCAACTAGCAGAATCGAATAACACCATTTTTGCCATTCAAATAGTCATTTCGAGGAAGGGGTTGCACATGAGGCGGGTCAAACGGCCATGAAGGAGCAGCATAGCTTTCATCAGGGTTTTGATTGAACCAAAAAATCGGACCTTCCTCGGGCAACCATTCTTCATCATCTCAAAACTCCTTGTACAACATGCCCGCACTATCTCCAACCATCAAAAATTTAAGCAAGTGCGGTTTTGAAATACCGGTAATGTCTGATGCAACGCACGGGTCCACTATACTAATCCAATCTTCCATCGTATCGAGGAAAATACATTTGGGAGGCTTTTTGTGGGATTGCTTTATGAGCTCGAAGGACTCGTCCATAGTATAAGCGTCTACGTCTTTCAATTTATTCGAGAAAACGCTGAAAGTAGCGTCAACGTCTGTATGGGTGTGTCCCACCAGCATGAAACCTATTTCTACCTCTTCAAAAACTTCGAACTTAACCAACAGTGCAGCCAGGGCACATATGTACTTGTTCTTSTTTTYCCGCCAAYAATTATYTGCTTGAATGCGCAAAAAMYGTGGCAGTGGCGTCYCGCTCYCTTGAATTTCGACAAGGGTTCTCATAACACAAGTAGCGACCGTGTTGGAATCGTGTTTGAAATACGGAAACCACGTATACACATATATACTAGGGTCTCTGCCGTGTGCAATGACGCCTGTCAGATTAGTCTTCATCATCATCTCGTGCCTTAGTGCTTTCGAGTAGTTCGCTTGACCAATATGGGGGATAGTTGTTTTCTTCTGATCCATGCCGTCAATGATGAGACACAAACGCTCGTTCGGACGAACCATGGAATCAGTTTTCGCTCGACTGTAGTTCAATCTGTGTTCAACTTGCCTCCTTTGGTGTGCTTTCATATCCTCTCGAGCACGTTCTCGATCTCGAGGAAGAGCAACATATTGTATACGTTCCTTCAGTTCATGACAGACGGCGCACTTCGTGAACGTGTTAGATTGCGTGAGGGAAACGTGAAAAAAGTGTTTTCGTCACAACTTATAAAAGTTGGACCCAGACACGACATCGAGGTCAGCGGCCAGAAAGTCGGATTTGATGGACTCATAAATTGATCTCTTCGTGAAAGCAGTCGGGAGTCGAAGCTTCGGTCTGGAAACCCCACCTTGGTTAGCCACCTCATTCGGCATGCTATCCGCATGACACTCGATGAACGTTCTCATGCTGGCAAGCATGGCGACCGTTCTATTGGTTGGCCTATATTTTTCCGTCAAGCCATGCTCGGAACGCATGTAGTCATTGTCGAAACGTTTTTTGTAGCTGTAAAATGTATTACGTGAGACACCGAGTACATTGCAGTATGCCCTGATGCACATTGAACGTTCCAACTCCATAGGGTGGACACATTTTTGTCCACTCTCATTTACTGTGAAATCCTTAATACTTTTCATCCACCACTCAGCTCGCTCTCCCGGACTCTTACTGTACAGTCCTTGTCTAACCTTTCGCACTTCCTCAGGCGACACGTCGTAACAACATCGAGCCTTGCAACATGCCATGCTGTGCACCATGAGCAGTCTTCTTCCGGACAGCATGTTTCTCGCTCTTTTATACTGTTATTTCCTCCTAGCGTTCCTATTAGCCATGCTGTACCTTCGTTTTTTGCCTGGCAAAGGTGCGGGCAAAATCTGCAGTATCGCCCTTCTCTCTGCTTCACCCCTGCCAGACGATTCCGACCCTCACTCGCTCTGA